TATTCAATAATCATGTTACATCTTAATTAATCCAGAATCAAATTGTGTCAGACCCATGAAAAGAACTTTGCTAATACTTACTTTTTAATTTATAAAATAAATATATAATATTATAATTAAATTTTAAATTAAAAAATTAATTATATAATAATATATTTCAATACTTATTTTTTTATTTAAAATATTCAAATTCAAAACCTTATTGAAAAAAATCAAATTATTTTCACTCAAATCAACAAATTATTGATTATAATACTTTATAATGTTATAATTATAAAATTTTAAAAAAATTATTATACTCTTAATAAAATCATTTTGTGCCAATAACCACAAAAAGGAGTAGCGTAACAGATTTACACGTATTTACACCGTAGTCTAACTCAAATTTCTCGTCAAAATTACACCACCGTCAACACCGTGTCTTTACATAACCGTTTTTCGCACGAAACAGACCTCCGATTCTCTCTATTTCCACATCTCCGGTTCCGATGAAGAACCGACGGCCATGATGTGAAAGTACGCATGAACTTTAAGCTACTGCATCAGTTTCTCCTTCTACCTCCAATTTTCCGGCATTTCCTGTGATTCGAGAAATCGGAATTTTAGGGAAGTCCTGGTCGGAGCAATTAGGAGCCAGCCATGAAACTGCTGCATAAGCAAACAAGTGTGAACCCCCGGCGAGACGAGGAGCTTCTTCTACCCCGTACGCCGCCGTACCCTCCAAAAACACTCAAGCATCCCAGATCTCTTCCCAGATCCATCAACTACCTATTCAAAGAGCAGCGCCTTCTGTTCATCCTCGTCGGGATATTGATTGGGTCCACGTTCTTTGTTCTCCAGCCTACTGTCTCTCGTCTGGGTCCTTCTGATGTTCGTTCGATGATCCGCGAGGGAATTTCAGCTGGTACCATCGCTCACAACCAAGAGTCCCGATACTCCGGTGGGAAGTTGCTTTCTCCGTATGGGAAGGTGGGAAGGGTTGCGGCAGGGATTGGACGGCGGAGATTGAGGATCGTGGTAACTGGTGGTGCTGGGTTCGTGGGGAGTCATCTTGTGGATAAGCTCATTGGAAGGGGTGATGAAGTGATAGTCATTGATAATTTTTTCACTGGGAGGAAGGAAAATTTGGTGCATCTTTTTGGGAATCCAAGGTTCGAGCTCATTCGACATGATGTCGTCGACCCTATTCTCTTGGAGGTGGATCAGATCTATCACTTGGCTTGTCCTGCGTCTCCCGTCCATTACAAGTATAATCCGGTCAAGACTATCATATCCTTCCTGCATTTACTGTTTATCACTATTGTTTTGTTTGCATTAGTTGCTAATAAGTAATAACCCATTTCCTTTTTTAGCTACAATGCTAATTATGCTATTTTAAAGGTTAAGAACTAAACGTTTAAGTGAATGCAATTTTAGTAAGACCATAATGAGGAAATGACTGACATGTTAGTACTCTGATAGGAAATGTGTTTTTGTTCTAATGCTTCTTTTTCTTTATTGTTATAGAATGGCGCTTGTAAGGGGTTTCTTTTTGTATAATGTAATTGAGATCCTTGACAATGAGTTTACAAGACAAATGTGATGGGTACTCTTAATATGTTGGGGCTTGCAAAGAGAGTTGGGGCAAGGTTTCTGCTTACGAGCACAAGTGAGGTTTATGGTGACCCACTTGAGCACCCACAGAAAGAGACATACTGGGGGCATGTCAATCCGATAGGTGAGGCATGTTATCAAGGCTGCAATTTTCTTTGTTTTTTTATGTTTAGTAGTTTATCTGTTTTTTACATATGAGACCATAAACATAAGCCATTTCTTAATTGTATTGGTTTCTAAAATGTCTATAGGTGAGAGGAGCTGCTACGACGAAGGAAAAAGGACAGCTGAAACCTTAACAATGGATTATCATAGAGGTGCAGGAGTTGAGGTATTTATTTTTTTATTACTTGTACATAAAAACATCAACTCTTTTCTTATGTTTTAACTAAAATGATGGTCAAGATATTGATACTAAAAACTTGAATTATAATTTTTCATTTCTTGGCAGTAACACATTGTAATCTGTCATAAGTCTGTTGGTGACACCCTCATCTTTATCTTCACATGAATACCTTGAAATCACTCAATTGCTTATGATATGAATATTTCAGCCATGATGTCTCGTTTAATACTCTAGCATGTTCATGATTAAGTTCAGCTTCCCTTTATGTAGCACTTAGATTCTCATCAGCCATGGCATTTTGGATACTGGTTGTGATTTAACATGCCTCCATTTCCCTAGTATGAGTGAATGCTAAGATTTGTTGCTTTTGATCTATAATGAGCAATGATGGTCAGAAAAGGTTTGCAGTCAGTTGGATAGATATCTGTACTCTATGTATTGGAGTTTTTAGCTGCTATACTTGTATGCAGTGTAGCTGATATTGTATGCAATAATGCATAATTTTTGGCAAGTAAAATTTCTATATCCTCTAACAAACAAACAGTTCAACTAGTTTCTAGTGAAGTGATTGAAGCTGTACTTCTGGATTTGCTTATAATGTGCTAGAGGAATGTCTGTCAGTGGTAATATCTTCAAAAAGGATACAAAGCTTTGGATCAGGCAGAGGAATTCTCTCAACTTTGTTAACTTCTGAGAAAAATCATCTCTATTAGGTGTCCGCCTTTAGAATGCTGGATTTTAGTGCTTTTACAATGCTGCCTTTAATTCATGAAGCAAAATGGGTCAACCATGTTATGTGTTGCTGAAGTTCTTCAAAACGGGCAAAGTTGCATAAAAAACCTAATCAGTTTTGATATTGCTGATGTTGGTTATAGTTATTGAGATCAGAATTTGCCAGATCTAACAGATCCTTGGCTAAAAAGATCAGCTTTTCATTATTTGGCCAGCCTTATCTAAATCTTATTATAACATAATGCTTTCAGTTTATTCTCTATTACATCATGTTTGTCTGAACATTATGTATGTTGGATGTTGAAACAATGTAAAAATCAGTCTTTGTGAGAGACTTATACAAGTTTTTATCTTGTGAAAATGTTTGCTATATTTCTAATGTTGTGTGAACATCATTAATAATGTTTGTGAGGATGAGACAGAAATTAGCTTTTATGAAAGATCTTGCTTTTTTTCTTTCCCCCTTTTTTTTTCCCAGGTGAGAATTGCTCGCATTTTTAACACATATGGGCCTCGCATGTGTTTGGATGATGGACGCGTTGTTAGCAATTTTGTTGCCCAGGTTCATACTTCTGTTTTAACTAATTTTGCAGCTTTTGCTTATGGCAATTAATAGTGTTGGATAATGACATATTTCTAAGAAGGTTTATCATCAAATTAGATTCTTTATTAACTTTAGCTATGCTCTGCAGGGCATTCGCAAGCAACCAATGACTGTTTATGGTGATGGGAAACAAACACGAAGCTTCCAATATGTTTCTGATTTGGTAAGACTGATTATGAGCCTTATGTATTCCCCGTGTCTTTTTTATTTCTTCCCATGACCCTACCATCTTTATTAGGGACTCCTTTAATTGTGCCTTTGTGACCGCACAAGGAAATTGTATAGAAGAAAAAAATGTGGTCATTTGGATGGTTAAAGTGAGAAGAAATATGAAAATAAGAGGGGAGAAATTGGAATCGGAACTTACCTTTTAATTAAATCTGTGGAAATGAGAATATTGAGGGATACATAGCCTAGGGCATAACTTCCTTGGTACATCACTCAGTTGCATAAATTACCCAATCCCTCTCTTAATCACATTCCCGTAGGATTCTCCTCATTTCTGTCTTGAATTGTCAAACTCTCCTCATTCCTCATTTTTCAATCCTTTTCTTGGAAAATTTTATGGCCTTGTAAGGAGCAAATAGAGGCAACTAAAAATAGTTTATATGGCCTTGTTGTCCTGCATCTAAAAACACTGTTAAGGTCACTGTTCAGTGTTAAAGATATATATGAAGACAATTAAGTAGCAGAGAAGAGACTGACAATGATAAAAGAATCTGCTAAATTGAGAACATGTTAATTCATACTTCTCCAATTATGACAAATTGGGATCAATGTCAGGTGGATGGCTTAGTAGCTTTGATGGAAGGTGAGCACATAGGACCCTTCAATCTGGGTAATCCAGGAGAGTTCACCATGCTTGAGCTTGCTGAGGTTTGTCTTCTTTCATGTGTTCTCTTTCCTTTCAAGTACATTCCCTGCCTGGATCCAGGGTCTATGAATGCTTGTTCCAATTTCATTTTCCCATGACAAGCAGGTTGTCAAGGAAACTATTGATCCAAGTGCAACTATAGAATTCAGACCGAATACTGCAGATGATCCACATAAGAGAAAACCAGATATTAGCAAAGCAAAGGAGCTTCTGAACTGGGAGCCAAAAATCTCCCTGAGAGAGGGGTTGCCCCTCATGGTTAGTGATTTCCAAAATCGCATTCTGAATGAAGATGCAGCCAAAGGGCTTTAGATGAAAAGGGCAGCACAAGTATGTATAGTGTGAGGGGCATCTGTATTTTGTTTAGTCATTTTATTCTTATCATTCCTATCCTACATTACCCGATAAAATATAACAGTCCAACACTCTGTGCTCAGGTTATCAACACGAAATCTATAATTTTTTGTTGAGTTTCTGCTGTTCCTTAAAGCTCCCTTGTCTTAAATAGACAGTTTTTGTTATCACTTGAAAGTCTAGAGAAATATTATAGCAGTTTCTGAGGTGCTGTCTTGCCGTAGTAAATCATGTGTGGTTCGGGTTAAGCTGAGTGAGTCACCTTAACAAGCTGCGCTTGAGCTTGGTAAGCACATATTTTTTAAGTTACTCTTTCTTCTAGTAGCAATAAAATTATAAACAGTTTCCCATTATTTCTCTCTCTCTCTCTCTCTCTAATCAGCCTTTTTTTCCCATATTATTATTTCTATCTTCTTGCCGACTTTTCTTTTACCCGTCTTTCTTTTCTATCAAGAATGGAGTGAGAATATCTTTTAGCAAACAAGTTAACTAGAAGAAAGGAAGCATCATATCCAGTTCATGTTGCATTTCTGGTATGATGGTTTTTGTACGCTTTAGCAGATGAACAAAGGACTATCAGAGTTGTTATGCATCCCTTTCTGCTGTCACAAGTCCCCATCAACTTAGCCATTCCGGTATGTAGAATAAAGACCATCGCCTTCAGAAGGTAAGTGGGGATAAGCCAGGGTCCATAAATGGGAAATTTTGGTCAGGGACCATCGTCAAGGACTGAAGAAGACAAGAGTAAAGTTGCCATGCCGATGCTTAGACCCATCTCACCAGCCAATTTTTCTCACCAACCCTACCTTTTTCTAACCAAATTATTGGTTTATAATTAAGCTTTTCAACAAAAGTTCCAATGGCTCAGTCTACCATCGGCCGACCATATCCGTTTTGGCACCATCTCCATAAAACCCATTTATAAATAATAGCCTAAGTACGTATGTTAGACCAAAAGAAGAAGTCTCTACTTCCGAGTTTGAGTTTCAAGTTTAAGACTTTCAGTTCTCGACGATTAGAGAACAGAAATCATATGAAACTAGGATATTATTAAAGTGGAAAAGAAAAAGAAGAGATAGAAGCAATCTAGAAGAAAGCATCTGATTCCACAACCCTAGTGAAGGAAATTTTGAGTTGAAATTGGCATGAAAGTGCCTTTGGGTCTCTTCCATCCAAAGGAAGAAAAAGAAAAATTCCAATTTGCCTTTATTTTGCAGCATATGTTCCATTAGAATCTGAAAAATGAAAATTCCCCAACAGCTAGACCTGCCTGTATGTCACTCCCATGAAACATTTCATTGCAACCCCCTCTTGCTTTATTCTAAACCAATAATGTAAAAAACATTGCAGGCATGGTTCAGGGACCACTAGGTTTAAACCTTCCGCTACCCCAACCACCTCATTAATGGCCACTTAAAACTCTATCTGGGAACGTAGTAGAAGAGAGGTATCAATTTCCATGAATTAAACCCTTCCATCCCCAGCATTCTTCATAGAGACTAGCTGTTTTCCCTGTAGTTCCTTCTACTGATAAACTCATAAATATTTCACACCAAACCCTAGTAGATAGAGATACCTTCCTATTTTGCTTCTTGGTCCTTGGGGACAAATCGACAAAATATGAGTAATGGGTTTTGATTAACAGAACAGGCAACATTACAAAAACAGAATTTAATGCAAAAAAATCATGATGTTTGCACTTAAATGTTGTAATATGTTATGGCCTTTTCAATGAATTAAGCTCTGCCAAACAACTGCTGCTGCTCTGCAACTGAGTGATTTTACCGTTGCTCTGTCTCATCTGTGAATTGCATTTTTTTTTCTTTTCAAAAATCAAATTCACAGACAAGCTCCCTCCATAGTAGGCTATTACAGAACACCTCCCTGTTAAATACTACTTATTTTGCATTAATGTCTGAAAAAACAATGAAATTTCTTAATCCCACTAATTAAATATGTTTGTCGGACACATTTGCCCTTGCTTTGCGCGGTTGCTCCAGCTGATGGACTGATTTCTCAAATACTATATTTTGATTTTTCCCTACGCTCCCGATGCTAATCTCCCTTGAAAGTTTCTAAATAAGGCATTGGAATTAACTTTTACTAAGACCTGGAACTTAGGGAATTGATAATCTTAATTTTAAATTTATATAGTCCAGCACATACTGATCTACTTACTATTTTAATGCGAAAAGTATTTGAATACTCAAAACTTAAGTTATATACCTATGTTCTCATTTTCTTAAATTTCTTGCTATAAAATTTTTTTTTTCAAATCTATATTTATGTTGAGTGAGTTAAAGTTAAAATTTTAAATTTTTACTATTTAAAGCACTAGTTTTCTTAACAAATATAAAACTAAAAAATCTTTTATATTATTAAAAAAAAAGAAGATAATTTGATTCAAAAAAATGTTTTATAACCAAAATAGTACTAAATTATAAAATACTAATAATTTATTTAATTTGAGAAAAACTAAAAAGATAAGAGGTAACTTTATATTAATCAATTAAATTAAATCATTAAACAAATAAAAAAATTAATTAATTATAATAATTTTCTCTTACATTCTTTTTCTTCAAACCAAACAAACCTTGACTATTGGCTTAGAAAGAAAGGGTTTGATAATGAATTAAATAGCTGATGTATTATAGTTTTAATACAGTTGGAAGTACAAATCAGTAAAATAGAATGCTCATTTTGACTTTTGGAAAATAAGGCTGATAATTAGCTATATATGAATTATGAAGCAGCTTCTACAGTCACTTTAGACGCTCTGTTTTTTCTTTTGCATGGAATTTTAGTATTCCATCTCAATCATAAAGCAGAGCAACCAACTTTCTTTTGGAAATTCCTCTCTTTACATTTAGATTCTCTAAACCACTAGTTCTTCTTCAGTGCTATCAATAACCAAATTAAGATGAAGAGAATGGAGATCTTCTGTGCATCACAGGCCTCAACAGCCATATGCATGAGCATGGACCAAGCCTCCTCCTCCTCCTCATCCACCATTCAACTCGGTGGCAAAGCCATCGACCGCCACAACCCCATCATCAGAGACTCTAGAAGGTTCAACAGAACAGGCATCCCCACTAACCCTTGTGTTTCCCAGCCCCTCCCCTTTGACCCTAAACCTTTTCAATATCATCAACTTCAAAAGACCAAGAGCAAGAAGAGTCCTTCCACCAAACAAAGTGATAAAAAGGCCAAGAAGGGGTTATTGAAAGAAAATGATGGAATTACCAGGAAGAGCTCTTTTGATGCCAGAGAGCAGCAAAGTGATGTAATTTCAAGGAAGAGCTCTTTTGATGCCAGAGACAAGGTGGTATCACTATCAACCAGGAAGAGCTGGGTGCTGCCACCGGATTTAATTACTCCGCCTGGCTCCTCCAGGTATCTTCTGAGCGACACTGGATTTTCCGATGGAATAACGGATTATGACCCGGTTTTGTCATTGGTCCCCGTTGAACCCAAGAAGAATCAGTCTTTCAATCAAGATGAAACCGTTGATTCGATAAACTCTGCATCCTCTCGATTGGAGAAACCACCTAAGGATCAGGTATGATCTTTCTATGTTTCATTTTTTCATTTCGTCGAACACCTTTAGATCTATATGAAAAACTCCGATTTCCGATTAAATTTTCTCTCAGGTTGTGGTTCTTAGAGTTTCTTTACACTGCAAAGGCTGTGAAGGAAAACTTAGGAAACATCTATCCAGAATGGAAGGTATCATAACTCTCTATCATAACATTGCTCTGATTTCAACTCTTTCTTGGTGGGCATATATGATTCAATATATACCTCAAATTAATCAAAATAATTATAGGGGGTTTTTTGATGATGATTTGAGCAGGGGTGACATCCTTTAACATAGATTTCGCAGCGAAGAAGGTGACAGTTGTAGGAAATATAACACCATTAAGTGTCCTTGCTAGTGTTTCAAAGGTGAAGAATGCACAGTTCTGGACATCAACCATGGCAGCTCCTTCTGCAGTTTCAACACCTGCTCCTCCTGCATCCACCAATCTAATTGCAGTCAAGAAATAATGATGGTTACTTCAACTTTGAAGAAGAAAATTCAATGTATGATTGTGGTGTGAATGAGATAATTTAGTGTAAATTGAAGCCAGTGTTGGTAGCCCTGATGGAATCAGAATCATTGTTGCTTAGGAGAAAATAAAGAAAAGCACTATAGTTTGGTTTTCTCTTTGCAAACGCTACTGTTTAAGGCATGCATTTTCTGAAACTCATGACCCATTCTCCCCGTTCTGATCCCTTATCCCTTGATTTTGCCAGTATTTGCCGCCATGCCTTCGTGCTTCCCTACAAAATACATCACAAAATTAATGTAACTAAATTACGCATGTAAAATTATTGAATAAAAAGTTATTCTCTTACGTTAACAATCTCTCTTTTAATAATTTTTATTTTACTGTCTAACATAATTTAAATTATAAAATAAAATTCTCAATATAACATATTCCCTTAACTTCCTTTTTTTTTTTTAGAGCAAAACTAATCAATTTCACCATTTTCTGTCAAATCTATGGTATGTGGGGATGTTGTATTAGGGTATTGAACCCAGGAGATTGATGTCCAATGCACCAAACTCCAAAGGAGAGTAGCAACTGGGTTTCAAGGTACTGGACTGCTTACATGGATTTTTTTTTTTTTTTGAACAAGGTTACAATTATAGGAGAAGGAGAAATCGAACCCCAACCCTCAAACTGAATATGCACGTTACAAATTAACTTATGATCGTGAGGTCCGAGTGCGCTTACATGGGTTTTTGCCGAAGGTCAAAAAGAAATTTAATTGCACAAGTCTAACCATGGGTACCATTAATCGATGTTGACATTAAAAGAGGTGGCACATGGCAAAAAATAATGGCTACCATAGACTAGAGTTGTACCAAGAACAGGACAGGTCCAGAGGCAACAGTAAGTCAGTACCTCTGGGTAACGGAAAAAAATGGGTATCAATTGATCTGTCTTCTGCTAGAATGAATGGAACACGTGACATTGTGTGATATTTTTTTTTTATATATATTGGTT